AATTAACTTGATTATTAACATTTTAGCAGGGAAACAATGCGGTCACTCTCCGACTGGTGTTCATTACCTAATTTTCGTGGCAATGTTTATTTTATAAATATTCAAGTATATTATCGTGTTATTATTAAATAATATTTTACGCTGCAATATTCGAATATTAAATAAACAAATGGAATAACTAAATAATAAAAATTGCCCACGGAAATTAGACAGTGAACACTAATCCGAGAATGATCGACAAATTGCTTGCAATAACGAAGTAACTGCTGTTTTTATTATATTTTGACGCAGTTACAAGATGCAAATTATATAATACAAGTAAAACTAGGGCAATATAACAAAAACAAATAAACATGTAGTTCAGTAACATGTCTGTTTTTTGTCTCTTGGCTTTTGTGGCCTAAGGGTCGGTTCAGATGACAAGCGTTAGGCCACAAACTGGATGAGGGCGAGCGGTGACGCGGTGGCGAAAGCGATTCGAGCGGCGGCGGCGGCGGCGCGGTTAAAAGTTGTTTGTTTTCGACGCCAGCCACCAGTTCGCTTAGTTTGCGGCGGTAAAGTGACGTCACGAAAGTATGAGTGCGATGTAGATACTGTGACGTAACCTTTTCACAGTACTCTATTCTTTTATTCAGTATGAGTTATAATGTTTCATAATGATTCATATTTAGAGCTCATAACACCTTTTCTAAGGATTAGGGTTCTTATTCCAGAACTCTACTCAATGCTCAAGTCAGGATTTGAGCAGACTTGAGTATGATTTCAAGCACTGGAAATACGACCCTACTGGCAAGAACTTGAGCATGATTTTCAGTGCTCAACTCAATACTCAAGTCCTGACTTGAGTATTGAGTTGAGTTCTAAAATACGACCCTTAGACTGGTTCTCAAGTAGTCGCTGTACTTATTTAAATGTTTGTAAGAAGCTGAATATGGTGGATATTTAAGAATCGTATTGTTTTCATGCGTGTGTAAAATGATTTTTTGCTATTGTTTTTAAGCGCAATTTATTTATTATGTTCAATAGTCCGTTAGTTCTGCGAAATAAATAAAGTACTTATATTTGGAAATTATTATGGAAATTCTATAGTACAGTACCGACAATCCAAGCACATAAGTACTGATAGCATCCTCTAAATGTAGCAAACTCAAACCGCGTTTATACATATATTTTGTCTGGCGTGACGCGACGTGGCTGGCGTTCACATCTATATGTCGTGTTCTGACGCCTTCTGACAATATTTAGAATGAATACCGCTGTTGGAGAGTTCATACGTTCGCAATGTTTTCTCTTTCTCTCAAATGATTCAGATTATGAAGAAGATATTCAATTTGTGATAGTGGCAACAATACAAAAAAAAAACATATTGGGTTTATCCAGTGAATAAAAAACGAGAGAGTAAAAGCGAGTTCTCTGGTTAAATAACTTGAGAGCGATGAAAGATTTTAGAATATCTGAGGCACTATATATTCAGCACTGGCACGTGCACACTTCTCTGATCTGACGTGACGCGGCCGCTCCACCGCTCCCCAGCTCACCCGTCCTGACGCAGATCGGGATCGCGTCTTATGCGACACAGCACAAGCCGTCACGTCATATTAAGACACACTAAAATAAATCTAACCATATTATGAGCCCCATACACGACAGCGCTCGCCTTCACTCGGCTAGTTAGGCGAGCGATACCGAGCGAAGGCAAATCAAATAGACTGTCTACACGTTGGCATTGCCCTGTACTCGCCTAGGCTCGGCCAACATGTATTGCGGGTTAAGCCGGCAATACATGTTGGCCGAGCCTAGGCGTGTGATGGCGAGCGCCAACGTGTATAACGGGCTCATTTGGCGTGTCTTGTCACGACTGGTCGTCCCTCACGACCACTCGTCTGCAAAATGTTGCACAGTAAAAATCAAGATATTTTCAAGTTTTTGGAGGTCTATCAGAATCAATCTGTTATTTGGAACCCCAAGGACGTTCTTCTATGTTCATCTTACTTTGTTCTATTTTTGTAATACTCAGCATCCACCACCTTCTTTTTGTCTTTTGTTTTGTTACTTTGTACTTTATTACGTTATACACTAACGTAATAATTATAGGCGTTCATGAAATAAACAGCAGCATCTGCAATAACTTCTACATTTTTTTTTATTGTGACTCGGCAAAATGACTGCACCGCGCCTGATGGAAAGTGCGAATACAGTCCAGAGATGAGAGTAACGGATGGAAAACACAAATATCTTCACTCCGTCACTATCATTTTGCCGGTCTGGCCAAATGCTTCTTCACACTACGTTTGAAGGACCCGATGTTTGTGAGGGGAGGGAATACATGCGCCGGGATTTGGTTCCACGATTTGATGGTTCGGCATAAAAACGAATTGCCAAACTTTTTAGTGCGGTACATCGGCGTCGTCCATATTGTTTCAGTACACAATGAAAACGACAGCGGCCAACGTGTGGGCAGCTCCACAAAACTAGTCCAATCAATTTGCTTACGCTCGCGTTGGCGTAGGCTCGGCTAACGTGTATTGCGGGCTTTATACAGTATGTAACCGAGACCGTTCTGACGCGTCACACAAGTCGCGTAAGCCGCCACCGGCACCGCCGTCGCCACCGCGCCGCGGCTCTCGCTGCCGTCTAGATTTGTAGTCGCCCACTTACAACTATAGTATGAATAATAATTAGATGTTCAAAACAAAGAAATACACTGTCAAAGTATGACAAAGAATGCAGGCGTGCTAAACCTTGTATTTTTAACGGAATTGGAAAAGGAGGAGGTTCTCGTGTTCCACAATTCTATTTATCTATTACAAAATTATTAACAATAAATAACAAGTTTAATAACAATACATAACGCACTACCGAAACAAGAAAACATCGAGTTTGAGAAACGAAGAACATATGACACGACAAAATGGGTTTTAATTCCAATAGTATTATCAGTGTCATGAATTCTTTTTGTAATTGTTGTATTGAACGAAGTTAAGTAAAACTTTATATGTATCGATATATATTTTATTTTCAATTATATATATCAGAGATTATAGCTTGAAAACCGTTCTAAACGTTAATTATCACCGTTTAAGAATTCGTCCAGGGAAGTACTGCCATCTTACCTATGTTTGTCGCCGAGTAATATATGAGCATTACTGCGTTCCGGTTTTGAAGGGAGCTGCCGGTGCTGGTGAAATTACAGGCACACGAGTGATGCTCTTTGCGATTTAAAGTTCCGAGTGTCACTGCAACTGCTATGAACAGGCGTATCGCTTAACATCACGCGCACGACTTGTTTGTTCCGTCACATGGTATCATAAAAAAAATATTAAAGATACGTGCTTTCTAAATGATTTTGCATAAATTGGTTTAGTTCTAGCCCATTGCAAACGAAACAAGTATACATACACATTTCAAAATAGGTTCTGATATACCACAGCAATAGAAACAGTGTACAGTCAATTAGGCAGAGAGATTCCACTATTACCATAAGTGGATCGTAAAAAAGCTGTCCATATCTTTACTAGATTGTTCAAACCTCGTAAAGGATCTTTCAGATCCCGTTTTACTATGTGTCATTTATTCCTTGTTATACTGGAGGAGTGTTTTTTTATGATTATCAAATTGACGGGAAGAACAAGTCGTGTGACTGGTGATAAGCGACACGACTACCCAAAACAGTTGCAGTGGAAATCTTCAAATTCTGACAAAATTCATATTAACTATAGTCCATCTTTTTTGAAGATGAAAAATTATGACATGTTGCCCACTTGCAGTCGATAAATATTCTATCGACTTTCGACTGAATGTTGGTCACACTTATGCAATAAATAGCTAAAGTTTCGTTTGAATCATCATCGACCAATTATTTATATTATTATGGGGAACTGTATACGTTTTTACAATAACATTCCGGAGCATATATTAAGTTTATCATTTCCTAAGTTTAAAAACTACATCAAAAATATTTTGACCGAAAAATCATATTACAAAATTAAAGACTACATGTTAGATAAAGATATAAGGAAAGACGATACGGCTCCAGAATCCACACAAATTTGATTCAAAGTGTATTCCATAGCATTTAAGTTCATTTTAAAAGAGCAACCCCTAGAGTTTCTTGCTCGTTCTTCTCAGGGAGGTCAGCGTAGTGAACGAGCAGTAGCTTAAATGTGACGTTTTCAAGTGTAAATTTATTTTACCTATGGAATAAATAATCTTTGACTTTGACTTTGACTTTGATTCTCCCATCTACTGAGCACAGGTTCATTTGAATTATCGATTTTTGTAAGTTCATACATACTTATCAGCGGCCAGGGCGCCTGGCCGCTTACAACTCGATTCCCATCGGCTTGCCTAAAATTTTACACGTATCATTAAATATTAAAAATATTTTAAAGTAACTTACTACATTTTGTGCTCAATTTTACGTGTAAAATAATTAACTAGTAAAAGAAAGTGTACTAGTATCTTGTGTGTTTATACATAAGTGTTGTGTTTATTTGTTCCCAAGGCGCCACTTGTTAAGGCAAGTGTTTTTTGTTTTGCTGAGGCTTTACTAAAGACAATTATCACGTCTCACAGCTGATACTTATACTAACTACGAACTACGTCTATTAAAATACAAAGAGGAAATTCAATATAGGTAAACAAATCCTTCGGTCGTAATCGCCGGTCCTTATTAAAAAGTATATGAATAAAAATATATTTCGATACTAGTAGGCTAACTGTTAAAATAAGCATAAACAGGCAATAACGCAGTTAGTAATCATTAGAACGTTGTAACGTTTTCAATCCAGACTTTTTAGGCAAAATTCTTCTTTCACAATCTGTCGATAAAACTGTCGACAACAACTACATGACTATTTAAAATTTTATGAAACCTTGCAAGTGTTACTTTACTCCGTCTTCAAAAAAGACTTAATAATTCACCCCAACGACAATATGCACGCGGTCAATGTGTTTAAAGCCTCGAATGCCTATTAACAATTACTTTTATTTATTTTCAGGATGGACAGAGACTGTTTATGGGTGCCCCGGGCAGCTTCTATTGGCAAGGTAAATCCCATATTAATCTATTACCACAGCTGAATCTTCGTATTTACATTAGCATTTTGAAGTTTCTCCTATAACGAATCGTTTGCTCATTGGGAAAACTTAATTTTTTCCTTGTTTCTTTACCTAGACAGAATTTCTTTATTCCTGAATTTCAGTTTCTTACTTTAAACTAAACTTTAGATATCTATATCTTGTTCCATCTGTGGGGTTTAACTTGATTCATTTCAAAGTTAACTTTGAGCTACTCAGACGCTCTCGCTCATTTTCTCAACCTTGATTTCTTGGAGTCTGTGTTAAAGAGAGGTATCTAACACTATAACTATAATGAGCAAACAATTTTACAAGACTAAATTATAAATGTATGTGACTGATTATTGGAAAATTCACAGGGCGAACGTTTTCGATAAATCCTAGCGAAAGATTCATCTTCTTTATGCCGAAAATAAGGGACGAAGAAGGTAAAAGCAAACGTCTACAGAGAAATTGGCATTATAACTCCCTTAACCAAAATAACATAGAGGCTTACAAACGCCTGAATCTAAAAACGCCTACAAATCCATTTTCAACTAGATTTTTAACCTTAATATCTGCTATTTGAGTATAACCTAACCTAACCTTGAAGGTCACAGTAGATCAAGATTGAAACTGCTCGAGCAATGTTCCATTGAAGTTAATTTATTGTCATAGGACCGATATTGAAAGATTTGAACACTTTTGAACGTTTATTGTAATACTTATTGAGTATATTGAATATCACGATGTCTTACTATCATGATATTTAATATTTTTTTGTGAAATTACTTCACACATTAATACACAGTTTAAACAATACGAAAATTCCTACGATCCGGCTGAATTCGATCCAGCGCCTTCAGCATACCGCTTTAGTGTTCGATCTTTTGTTAATAATTATCTTCTTAAATTAAATATCTATTATTACGAAGCTCTTATTCATTACTCGACGAGTATAATTACTCGTGACATTGGATGTCCATTGGAATAAGCAGACATTGTCGATGTCCACTTTGCACGATTTTGGAAAATCCCTCTTATTACACTTACATATCAATATTTTCATGCAAGCTCTTTTTGTTCTCACTAAGCACTTCAGCCTTTTCAAATTCTCATTCACTGTTTCAAAACCTTTTCACTGGTCATTGTTTCAACAAATTGTTTTCCAACCCAAACTGTTTGCAGCAAATATAAAACAAACTTTTTTTATTTAAAAAATACATCTATTTGCATTGACTTACAAATAAATGGACGACGGGTCTAATACAAAAACCACGAAAAAAATGTCCCAAGTCAACCTATTCGAAATTTAAATTGTTATGTCATCGCAGTATCGCGCTGTCCGTAGAACAAATGAAGACTAAAGCGGAGTGTCGCGCTCTGTATACGATTTTAGCGCCTTACAAGTGCGGACACTTTTTAGCGCGGACCCGACGTCCATATAATTGTAAGTCAATGTCTATTTGTCAAGTTTTGTTGATTCAACCCGAAATCGGTTCACAAATCTCAGAGTAATCACAAAACACAAAAAAAATAGCTGAACCTCCTTTTGTGAACTCGGTTAAAAAGATATTTTTGTTCGTGAATCATAATAATCGGTCCTAGAAATTGAGTAAGAACTTTGTATTACTGTAATAGTGATTATTAGTTCATCTAAAAAACAATGCTCTTGGAGTTTTTCTTTAAGTCTACGATGACCCTTACTTTGTTATAAACAACCCATAATTGTTTTAGGCGATCGAAGTAACCCTTGAAATGCTTATATTTATAACTAAACAATAATTAATTTTAAATCCGGACCTGGTGCTATTGTATATTAATTTATTAACAGCTACGAAGAAAATATTGTTGTTAGGTTTGCTCAAATTCGCAGAATTAAGGTTTGTTCCGTGATTGGTATGTTATCGAGAAAAAACAGCGCAAATGTCAACAGGACGATGTAAAGCATTAAGGGCGAATTTTAATAATTTTTTTTGTTTTACGTTTTGAGATCGTTATGGAAATTCGATTTCCCGTATTTGCATGAGTTGTGTGAAAAAATACCGTGTGTTTTATGTCCTAAATAGTACATTATTTTAATAGGCAGGAAAAGTAGGTTATTGCAAACTTTTGACGCTGTAATGTGTCAACTTGTTTGTCAAGGTTATTGCAAGCTATTGACGCTATAAAGTGTCAACTTGTTTGTCAAGGTTATTGCAAACTTGACGTTGTAACGTTTCAACACGCTTGTCAAGGTTATTGCATGCTCTTGACGCTGTAAAGTGTCAACTTGTTTGTCAAGGTTATTGCAAACTCTTGACGCTGTAAATCAACTCGTTTGCAATAACAATGAACTGTGCTTTTTTTATTTGTTGAAGTTTTTCAATTTGCGCTTCATTCTCGATGTCCGACAGATATTGGTTTCATATAATTCCCGAATTCACTTAAAACTTTTTATATTTATGGGGATTTATAAGGAAAAACAAAAAAATAACAATATTTCATGTAAAAAAAATCACTAAATTTGTTCTTTATTAAATAAAAATTAAAAGGCTGACACTCGAACATCATACAATACAATCTATAATATCGAGTTTATAGGTTTCCACTATTACTGCACATCGGAAAAAAAAAATTTTTACCGATGTAAATTTTTTCAAACAAATTAACGTTTCAGGCTCTTTACAGATCTCATAGTCATGGCTGACTGACATGGTACAGTCATTAACCAGTTATTTCTTATATTAATGCTAACTACTCTAATCTGATCAATTGAAACGGTTTGTTTGACAATAGTTATTTGTTATGCAAGGCTGCAAAGTTGTTATTTGACACGAGTGTTTGTTTAGAAATCAGTGCAAGCGCAGGATCCTATAAATGCGTAGCGAGGGTTTCAAGGTACGAGATGCAAAACCACTTTTCACCTCACTATAGCGAGGAAAATGGTAGACGAAAGAAGAACAGTTAAACTATAACAAACTTCGTCTTAGGGTCGTATTCCAGAACGCTACTCAACGCTCAAGTCAGGATTTGAGCAGACTTGAGTATGAATTCAAGCACTGGAAATACGACCCTAATGGCAAGGACTTGAGTATGATTTCTAGTGCTTTGAAGTATTTAGTATAATTCTAGAATACGACCCTTAGACTCCTTCGCTTGCTCACGTTTCAATAGAAGCACTCGCGTCAAAGAACAACTTTTTCAGCCTTGCATAACAAATAACTTCTTTGTCAATTTAATGTGAACAATAATAAGAATAAAATATAACAACAGATTTATGTTACTGTAATGTGCGAGACCGCGTAGTTTAACGTGTCATTATGTTTTTACATCGAAAGAAAAAGTTAAGTACACTACAGTCAATCGTCAAGTTCGAATTTCACTTTTCCACGCTAGCGTGAAAAAAAACGCTTTTGCGCGCAAGTTTCCTATGAGAAAGAAAGCCTATCGAGCTGGTGAGGTGAAAAAAAAAGTATACATACAACATTAACAACAGTTTATAACAATTTAGCAAATCCATTGCTTTGTTTTTTTTATTTGTTATTTACATAATTTTCACATTTGACTTAGCAAACTTTTAAATCGTGTTTGTAAACATTTAATAGGGGCGTAGTTTTCCGCTGCATTAGGGCGGAAAATGTCATTTTCTGCACGCTTCACCGTTGTCAAAAGAACAAACTTTTGAACAACTATAGATTTGTATACATCTAGTAAGCTCTTTAGTTTTATTTAACCCTGTTGATTCAGCCTGTCTTTTTTTGATAACAAACGAATACAATGTACAATCATCGGCTTTCACACAAAATTTATCGTAGCTTTTCTCACATCGATGACCACCAAACACCTTATGAATGAATATTCAATATTACAACGTTCGTTCTATCAGATTATGATTAAATTTCGGCTCAACGTATCCTGGTCGTCAATTCAGTGACAAATCGACAGGTTTTATGTTAAATTTGGCGCTGCCTTTTGACGATACTGAATTACCGACTTACGATGAGCTTATCCACTACAGTGTGATACAGAGAGCTTCTTTAGTGACCTTTTGTCCTAGAACTAAATAGCAGTAGAAAAGAAGCAACTGCTTTTGAATATTGCACGAAACATAGAAATTTTTGTGAAAACTTTTACTTCAATAAGATGTGCTAATTTGTTATGCATAGATATGATTAAAATAATAACTTAAAAGTTACCATAAATAAACAAGTTAAATATTCTCTAGATTTAGAGTAAGTAAATGTAGATTACTTAGTAATTAGTAAACTAGGATTATAACTAAGAAAACGTTAAATAAATGGTTATAGGTTTAAAAGGATGTACAGGTTTAACAATACATAAATAACAAAATTAAAAGCGTTCTGCTTATAAACAACCCTGCTAATCAAAATAAGTACTTAAAATTGGCTTTAACTTAAATGCTGTAACAAGCTGCAGATTTCGCGAGGATGTCCAGGATTAGGCCAAAGCTCAAGGACTCTGCCCACTACAACGTATCATTCTATGACTAGCTGTAACGACATATATGCAAAAAAGTGATCTTTGTATGAATATGTATATTACTATGAATCAATGCCCACTAGACAGTTGCTTCACCGACCAACACCGTAGCGTGACATGACATGACCGACAACGAATTTCCGACAACAAGGTTTTGCAGTTTTCTTCATCATCAAGTTGTTCATATAAAGTCCAGTATTTCTCCCGCGAATTTTATTTTTGTTAGAATGTCATGAACCCAATTACGCCTAGACGTTCTTTGTTGGTTCCCTCTTTCTCCTCTTCGTCTTGAAAGATCTACAACCAATAGAATGGGGACCGTACACCTATGGAGCGAGGATGATGCGGTCTCCGACCGCGTTGTATACGGGCATGATACGTTGTTGATATGTTCTAGTGTCTGGTCATGTTTGTTTCGCGTCTGATACGTTCATAGTATGGTCCGGGATAGTGGGCAAAGATCTTTAACCGTTTTTGGGGATTCATATCCAGTCCAGTTCAACCCCGCCAGTTTCTTTACATCATCCTTCTAGCGTGTCTGCGGTCTCCCTCTGGCGCGTTTTTCTCCCCAAGGCCCCCGTCCGTCCCATTCGAGGACCTTACACCAGGAGCTATGCTTTCGAGCAACGTAACCCGCCCACCGCGACTTAAGGTTCGTTACGCGTGTGGTGACATCTGCGACTCTGCTTTCTTGTCCTCTCAGACATAATAAAGCATCATATCTGCAAAATGTTCAATTTTTTAGGAGAGAGGTTTATGGATTCTGCGAACGAAATTATCGTTCTTCAAAATGATAGCTTTTTTATGACTTTCATGTGATACGTCAAAAGTGATAAAAAGCACTTTTGAGGTATCACATGTGGCTTTATTATACCAATAGTACGAAATGTGATACAATCAAGAGTACGTCAAGCTACTTTAGACATTGTTATCGTAAGCGACAGGGTTTAATTTAAATCTGTGTCAAACTTGGCATGGTCTTGACCCTGTACTTACAGACTGCGGTCGAAATCGAATGATCGAATATCCATGTGTTTCTATGGATTTCCAAAGACGGTATCGTTAATATAATCTAACTGGATATCCTACGAGTACCATAGTTTTAAAGACATTCTACATGCGAAATGATTCCACTATGTAACAAATTTTCAAAAAGTTCTGTTTCTGGTTTAACGGTATTGGTTTTTCTTATATGTAGCAAAGAGTGCCTGTACCCCTGAAACTCTGCTATTGTGGCTGTCGCAGCGGTATTTTACATAGCTACCTATATACATAACTACATAGAGGTACTTATATAATCTACACATTTCTAGTTTATTTGTCACCACGACAAAGAACCTAGAAATGTGTAGATTTGTTTCTAGACGACGTTTGTTGTCGAGTGGCTTGCACATCGGCTTCCAAAGTGTCGCCATCATCGAGGTCCCGGGTTTGATCCCCGTCCGGGGCATTGTAGAAACGAATTTTTCTATATTGTTTCGGGTCTAAGTGTTTGTGGTACCATTGTTGTTGCCGATTTCCACAACATAAGTGCTTTAGCAACTTACTTTGGGATCAGAGCAACGTATATGATATTGTCTAATATTATTATTATAAGTATTATTGTCACCAATTTCTTGAATTTTAGCTGAAATTCGCTATGATTTGAAATAGGTTCTCTTTCTGTCTTTAAATAAAGAAAATCTCAAAAATTCCTTAATGCTACGCAATCTTCAACTTGTTTCTTTTTTGTCCTGACTGCAATAGCAAAGTTTTTGCAGGGAAATAAAGGATTTTCATGTTTTTGTGATATAGAACCAATTAAAAAGTGATATTGATAACCCGGAAACAGAAATCCAGTTACATGGTAATTATCTCATCACGATATAACTTGGTCTTAAACGTCGGGAAAAGAATAAAGATTTTGGGATTAAACTACTTAGACGGCAGTTAGCCGAGATCATGGGACCAGTAAAAACCGCTAAAAGTTTGAAAAACTCAATATACGCGATTTAGAACCGAAAAACTAAAAATACAAAGTTACATCGTGGTAGGACACTCGCAATTAGTGATAATCGTCTTACGAATACTATGGTAAAAATCTCTGCTTGATAATTTTTGGTGTGATATTTGATGTTTTTAAGTTTTTGTGTTATTCTAAATTTTTTTATTTCACATAAGTGTGCCAACTTTGTTGTAAACTGACAACGCAATTTGAACTTTTATCGTTAAACTAAAAACAAAAACACATTGCTGCTGCGACGCTTGGATCATATTGTTTGTGCTCAAAATGGGTGTCACTCCATGAATCAATTTTATCCTACACGCAACCCAAAACTTTCGTTTGAACGATTCACCACCACAAAATCCAGATTCATTGTGAATAATCATTGCAAAATTGCATTGCATTGACACTTCAGAATCGTTCATGTGAAAGCATGTTTTCATTACATGTGTAAACCCATTTAGCGACGTTGCTTTGTAGAAAAAGAGTCAGTATTATGTTTAAATACCGGGCCATTAAATATTACCCCGAAAGTTTTCTCCATAAAATATATCAAAGTCTCTTATCCGCTCACGCGATGCGCTCCTCCTACCGCAAAATGGCGGCTATTTGGTTTCGCAAATTAGAAAGCACTTAAAAAGCACTAATGAAATTTTTGGTGTACTTGGATAAATATGATAATATTCCGTTTGAGTGGTTCTAACGTTTACCATGAAATTACTCCTTAAAGTATAGTTTATAAACATTTATATTCAGGGAAAACTTAAAAAACGCTACTTACGGTATGTTTTCAATAAATAAACACCGAAATCACCAGCCCAAACAATAACACACACGATTGTCGTGACGTATTTTTGAAGTTGTTTATTTTTTTAAATGACAGACCCAGGCTAATCTTACATCTTACATCTTACATTAAATACTTTATGGTTTGCTAGAGTAGTTACCGAAATAGCAATTAATATTAGTTCTTTTACCTGTTATAACTTCGATATCCGATAAATCGGTATAAAATCATCACCGGCACCTCTAGGTGTGGTATGCGTCTAAGGCTGCATGTATCGCGTGAGCGGCTAAATCGATAATAATGCATTTAATTCCATCATAATGGAACTTTTGCAGATATTAGTTATCAGCCACTTTCTGATTTTCTTCAATACATTGCAACGTTTGTTAATGGTTTATCCAAACTCTGAAATTAGATACTAATTCGTTTTAAACAAATTTCAAGGTCAACTATACGAATACGGACAAGGCCCCAAGCCCATCCTGTCGACTTCAGAAGCCAGTGGTAAATTTGATGATTCCTATATGGGTTACTCTGTCGCTACTGGAGATTTTGCTGGTCAAGGCGTACAAGGAGTTGCTGTTGGTGTACCCAGGGGATCTAATTTGAAAGGACTGGTGAGAAGGTTTAGTTTATTTTTGTTTGAAAATTATAAGTATACCTATGATTACATAGATATTTCAACTACGCGTCGCGATTTCTTCTTAGATTGAAACTTTATGGAGTACAAATTTTTCATAGGCGTAGGCATTGGTTACTGATCCATGAGCTCTTGGAGCTTTGATTTTTCATTAAACTACGATATTATTTAATAGTGTCGTCAATAAATGTAATCTACATATACATAACAAAAACTTTTTAACTTTTTCAGGTTGTTCTTTACACTTGGGAGCTCCAAAATATCAAAAACATCAGTGGTTCGCAAATTGGCGCTTACTTTGGCTACAGCTTAGCCTCCGGAGACATCGACGGAGATGGCCATGATGATGTCATCGTTGGTGCTCCCATGTACACCCGAGTCAAGAGTGATGGCTACGAACATGGCAGAATTTACGTCATCTATCAGGGCAATAATAAACTTTCTGTAAGTTGAATTATTTGATAAGCTAAAATAGGCTCATTAAGTTGTTTAGCAACAGTTTGTTTCTCACGTAACATTAAAATTGAAGCATTGTGGAACGGACTAAAAGCGTTGCGTGAAGAGTAGGGTTTTTACAATTGGCTTGACCTTTTTCAGATGTATTCCAAAGTCGACCGAAGAACTGGTGAAGTCTCCCGAGGCCGATTCGGCCTGGCTATCACTTCACTTGGTGATATCAACTACGATGGTTTTGGAGGTAGATCGTTGTTGCTTTATCAATAAACTGGTTTTCAATTTCATAGACAATTACTCTGCGCAATTTAAAAAAAGAAGTGTTATCACTATTATATAGGAGTGTGCTACTCGACACTATCATATGTAATAATTTTGTAACGAATTAGGAGATATTCTTACCTACGTTAATACATTTTTGATGTTTGTTGAATCCGAATCCAAGTACTGAACCCAGAACAAGGTAAATACCTTAGCTCATTTTCCAATCTTCTACTTTTCAGACATAGCAGTAGGAGCTCCATACGGCGGTAAGCATGGCCGTGGAGTGGTATACATCTACCATGGCAGCGACAGTGGTCTTCGAGAAAAATACTCCCAAGCCATCACAGCTGAAGAAATCACTCCAGGGTTAACAACCTTCGGCTTCTCGCTTTCCGGAGGCGTTGATTTGGATAATAACAACTATACCGATCTTGCTGTTGGTGCTTATAAATCTGACAGTGTTGTGTTTTTAAAGTAAGTATTTCCCTTTTTTGTACTTTCAAATACTTGCTGACTTTTCCTCTGGAAGCAGCACCAGAATCACATAAGTTTTTGAAGTAAAATAAAAACTTAATCATGTTAGTGTATTGTCTCGGATTTACTATCGGTATATAGTAATTGACAAACTTGTTCAACAAAGTTAGTTAGGTTGTACACTTCCATACATAATAATAATACTTTGGATTCCGATTGGGGTAAACAGATAGCAACGATCGCCCCTTTGTATGATCCTGACAAACCTCTCTTGCTTCTTTACTTAATGCGTGTTGGTGTAACTACAGGCACTCGACACTTGCCAACGTTATTTCGCAGAGTAACGGGCGTAGTGGCACTGCCCTTCACAGCTTTGCAGTTTCCGAGTAACACTGCAACTGTTATGGACAGGCGTGTTCCTTACCATCAGGCGCACGACTTATTCATCCCATCACTTGATATAATAAAAGCATTTCTTATACAACCTATATTAAGTATTTCTATACAAAATGTCTACGTTGATCTTTTTTTAAGTGAACAACATAAAACATCCATCTTTTTAACCGACTTCAAAAAAGGAGGAGGTTCTCAATTCGACTGTATGTTCTTTTTGTATGTTACGCGATAACTCCGGAATTTGTGAACCGATTTTCATCATTCTTTTTTTGTTGGAAAGGGGGTACTTCCATAGTGGTCCCATTTCATTTTGAAGAAAGTCATCCACCTAGAAGCGTGGCTGTTCACGCATGAAGATTCATTTCCATAAATAGCGCCTAACTTTAATTTAGGAGCAATTACTTTAATGGTTGATTTTGCTATTTCTCCAATTCAAGGCGTTTTTTTCTCAGTATACTTTGAGTAGTGAGAACCGATTTTTATTATCTCCAGTGTCAAGTCCTGTATAGTGGCGAACTAACTAGGCGATATTTCAATAAAACTTAGCAAATAGACGTAATTCCACGTACTTTTGAGGTCAGTTTTTTAGTACTCTGTACTGAGATTATTCTAACTTTTTAGATCCCGTCCAGTAGTAAAAGTGACAGCAGCAGTTCGATTTAGAGGCGATACGAAATTGATCTCGTTGACAGACAAACAGTGCCGTTTCACCAACGGCACCATGGTTGCTTGCGCACATCTCATGTTCTGTCTTAGCTATGACGGATTCAATGTCGATCGGCAAATAAGTAAGTATAATATTGTATTCTTTATTCTTATAACATTAATGCTTAATGTCAGGATTTGAAAAGTTAATTTTCTTGAGCCCTTTCTTCTAAGACAAGTCGTTATAAGGTGGTATATCTCAGATATCCCACTTGATAGAAACTTTCAATTTAAATGTATACAAAAATTACGGCGAAAATTACGTATGTGAAAAAGGTATTAAAATAATTGCTTGTTTTGTCAAAAAATGTTTTTGGTATTTTTGAAGACTGTAAATTCTTAAGCGTGTATTTTATCAATAATTATTATTTTTCCAAGCGGAAGGATACATCTGCTACTTCGGTGAGTGGGTGAAGTAGCAATCTTTTGGTAATCTCACCAAAACGTGCAATCACCAACATTTTGCTTCATTATTAATTTTACAGACTCACGTTCTTTATTGTCACATTGTTTATAACTTTTGCATTAATCATTATTATACTATATTTCGTTTGCATTTGACGTAGTTTGATTCTGATAATTTTGAAGCGAGTGATCAGAAGAACCAAGACCAAAAATAACTTGGTAACGCTAAAAACTGTCATGCAAGACAGACATCTCTTACTTTTATCTGGCGTAGGATAACTCTCTCTTCTGATTATGTTACTATACTTTTGAGGTCTAAACGTATAAGGTAAAACATTCTCCATCAAAAGTAAACATGATGTTTACTTTTAATTGTCCTTTTAAAAAGAATTAGTAATGGTGATGGCATCGACGACCAGGGAAGTACTGCGATATATTTTAGAGATATATTTTAGAGAGGGCGTGGATCGTGGTAAAGAACTTGATTAAAATATCATGTTTTGACTGCCTAAATATCTAACCTATCTTCTTCGTTCTATTGGATTCGTAGTAGTCTTGAAAGTCTCGTTTTTTCCAGTATTTGCGAGTCGCACCAAGTCTTGATTTTTTCCCGGGACACGGAAATGCAGGAAGACGTCATCGTTGCTTTCCTATTACTTTTTTTGTAAAATTAATAATGAAGTGATTTTTTATGTAACACCACCCAGCTGGTAGTATTCAATGTTAGATCGTGCATCACCATTAGCGGCACTTTGATGTTGTGTTAGTTAATAAATTTCAGGTAGGTACTCATATTGTAGGCGTTCGTATCTATGTTTCTATTTATGATTTTTAACGGTGGTGCCGCCCTCTAAGCTGGTTAATCTTTGATTTGCCGCTTAATTCTTTCATCATCACCATCAATCCATTATACGTTCCACTGCTGGGCACCGATCTTCTTTAAAAAGGAGGTTCAGGTCATTGTCCTCCACAGGGAATTCACACGTTCTGGGTTATGAACAAGATAGTTTGAAGATTTTATCAAGATGTTTTCTTCGCTGTAAGCGAGATGTTATAGCTTACAAATTAAAACTATGGATGCCGCCACATCTTCGACTTCTCCTTTGAGAAGCAGCTCTTTTCCGACTTATGTCTCAGGGTGACAGGCGCAGTGGCAGTGCCCCTCAGATCTTTGCGTTTTAAAGCTCTGAGTGGCAATGCAACTGTTACGGACTGGCGAGTCGCTTAACATCAGGCGCATGAGTTATTCGTCCTGTCACTTGATTTATAAAATAATACTGCAATGTAGCAAGTTTGCCAGTAGCCAACAATACAGTAATTTAAAGACAAATCAACTCATATCTATCAATATAGTTGAACTAGTTATCTCTAACGATTATTTCTTAGTTTCTATTTTTCATTTCACCAATTTATAAATCAATGGGGTAACATTTTGGTGACATTTTATTGATAAGTTGGCAACAGTTAATGTAACCTAATCACAAAAAAGCGGTAATCCCTGACTTGGTACTACACTGATGTTTATTAGACCTGGTTTTTTTCTATATTACAATCTTAGAATAATAACGCATAGAATGATAGTTTCATATCAAAGGAACTGTCACAAGGGAGGCAAAAATCAAATTCATGTAGGCTAGTTTTAGTAGTAGGTTAATTTTCGGTTTTAGTGAATATTTATATAAAAATACAAGTTGAAACGCGTTACTTCCTTGTGGAATGTGATGTTAGTATCTATTTTATGTTTGTCTGACGTATTTTTACACTCATTTACCGCACATTTCGTCATTTTTAGCTAAAATTCTTGAGCTGTTCGCGATGCAAGTTGACCTTGAGCACTGATGGCCCGCTCGTGTAGGCCCATTGGGAGCGCTTCAATTTGCCTCACTTAGTGTGTGCGGGCTAGGTTTCTATGCGTTATTATTCTAAGATTACAATATATTTAACTTTAAATCTAAACTATTGCAGATTTCGTCGTGACTCTGGACTTGGATTCGAGGCAGAAAACAACCAAGAGATTGTTCGTCTACGAGCGCTATAACAGCACTTACACAACTCACATTTTAATTCAACAGCGAAAGCAGGAATGCAGGGAAATTAAAGTTCATTTGGCCGTAAGTTACAATTCAAAATGTTTATCAATATTTGTACAAGGCCAAGAGTCTGACAAAGCGACCTCCTTCGTCGTTATCCCACCTTTTTATCTATCTTGTCTCTGGTTCCTGGCCACTAACTTTTGAAATTTTGAATCGTTCTCTAATTCTTTTCCTTCGTCATTCTTATGTTGCTTCGTTTTGTCGTTACTCCCACCAAAATTCTCGGATAGAAAAGACGTGTCCTAAAATCATGTAAACCTAGCTTATAAAGCAGCTACCTATATTTCTTACGAATACAGCGTTTTGACGCTTTATGCCAGAAACGCAAAATGCCAAACGGGCAGAATGTCAGATTAGCAGAATGCCAAATAAGCAAAATCCCAGATTATCAGAATGCCAAATTCTCAAAATGCCAGAATAAACATTTTGGAATTCTTAAAAAAATAATACATATAAAATTATGCGTATTACATACTAATCTAGCAATATAGGTTAGTAATACCTAATATAATAAATATAATATAAGTAATACCTGTAAGTTTATAAAGCTCGAAAGTTAGCAAGTTTCTTTATGATAGGTAGATCAGTTATGTACAATCCGGGGACCGTGGACTTAATGTCAAAATTACGTCTTCACATATCATCTGAAACTCAAAATGCCTTGAGCCCCTAAATGCCTGAAATTCATATCGACTCTATCTAATAATGACTAAATTACTAAATACCAAAGGTATTTCGTACATTCCATTACAAAAGTGTATTATTGTGTGCTCTTTTCTGTTAGATTAGCATAATCCCAAATGTCGCTGCTATTAGAATCAGGCCTCACTCCTCCTGACACACGAACTAATTCTAGTAAGTGTTCAGTAGTGGACGTTATTCAGTAGTGGAAGTTATAGATGGAGCTTCTGATGTTTTATTTATTTATTATAAACAAAATGTAATTTTTAAACTGTGCTAAACTACTACTGCGAATCTGGCATTCTGCCCGTTTGGCATTTTGCGTTTCTGGCATAAAGCGTCAAAACGGAATACAGGCCCTTTACGAGTAAGTTCACTTATATTTATGTCTAATCTGTAGGAAGTGTTTTTATATTACTTTCTTCTCCTTTTCCTTGACCTTTTCCCTACTCTGTTATTTATAAGTACCTTCTACAATAAATTCATGTCGAACGAGCGTTACTTTCTATCATTACTCTATTACTTCATGCCGCTTGAAATAACAGCAGTGCAACGCATCAAGTTTAATGTACCTACTTAAAAAAGAAAACAATTTTGTCATCGACCGGCCCCCAATTTTGGTCGCCAATGATATATTTGTAGAACTTTATTCACCTTCCATACATTGATCGAATTGGAACTACCGATAGCTTTCTAAAAAGTGGCTTATCTCACAAACATCCAATTCTGTGTTCTTATTCCTAATAACATTTAGCACACTTTGAACACAGTCGTCCAATGAGTCTAAAGTGAAGTAATTCGGCTTGAGCCAATATTCTTGAGAAGCTATAATATAGTGTACATTGTAACACTATGAGAAGCTAAACAAGCAGCAAACTTTAAATCTTAAATGTCAAACGTGTTAAACATGTTATATTTAAACATTTTTCAGAACGACATTCGCGACAAACTTACGCCGATCGAAGTCAAGATGACCTACGACTTAGTGGACCAGCCATCCGGCGGAAATATTGTCCCGCCAGTCCTAGACCAAACCCAGAGCATCGAAAAAACTGACTCTTTGAATATTCAGAAGAACTGTGGTCCTGATAACGAGTGCATTCCAGATATTACACTGTCTGCTACTACGTAAGCATTGCTGCAATAGACAAACGTGTTCATGTGATTTTAAGTTTTCTTTCGAGTTTATTTTGCCAGTTTCCTGGCTTGGATATACTATCTAGTAATATATATATTCTATTCATCCAACGACTACCACATAACATTTACAATGCATTTCCTTATTACAGTCCCATAGTAAACTATGAGCTTGGTTCCGGTAATAATATTGAAATAGACGTCAAAGTTGAGAATACCGGTGAAGATGCCTTCGAAGCTGCCTTTTACCTTCCCGTACCTCCCGGAGTCACATATTCTTCACACAAGAAACTAGAATCTTCAGATAATGTTAAATTTTATTGCTTCCAATTAAACAATGGTGGTAATACGACGGTGAAATGTGAATTGGGAAATCCTATGGCGACTGGGACAAAGGTAAGAAATCGAACCAGTGTTTGTTGCCTAAGGGTTGCTATAGCTCTTACCAACTGAGCTATGGATCGAGCCAGCAGATCTTGCTAGTTTCTCTATGTGCTTATTGCGAATTTTAGTATTCGGTTTGAACGGCTTTTTTGCCGTAGTGACATCGCTCCTTGTATGTACCAATAGTAAAAACATAAACACAAAAAGAAAATGAGATGACAATAACAACGCATACACACTCATGTCCAGCACTAGGGAATATATATACTATACCCAAACTCACGAGAGAAAGAAATGTAGACCATACAAAAATTTCTTCCGGCTCCGGACATCTGCGTGGCAGTCCAGCATGGTTACCGTTCGATCACGGCGGCAGAACTTGTAATATTTGAAAAGCAGCGGTATTCCAAGGCCAACACTGTTATTTTTCATTTGTGAGGTCGACGAATTGAAAGCAATACCGCTCGCTAATAGTGACGGAAAACATCTTGATACCCAATGCCTATTGCACTTCCGTAACGGATTATAGCTTAAATATTATCTTTAGAGGAGATCTGTACCTAATACTGGATATCACTTCACTTCATCCGTAAGATCTTTTTTGTCGATCAACCTTTCTTCTATTCTCTTTTTCTAAACCAGGTTTTGTTCTAACATTACAGATCAAATTCCGGATTATCCTTCAAGTGGACGCTCGTGTCAAAGAGATAACGTTCAATCTGGAAGCGAACTCGACGAATCCTGAGCAACACACGTATAGTGATAATAGGATGCGTCTGCCCATTCAGGTCATTATCAAGGCGGACTTGGAGATGATTGCGTAAGTTAACTTACAAGAATTCATCGCTAGACTTTTGTATATTTATTATTGATATAAAAATTGAACAAACACAAACAAAAAAATCCTTTGATCCGACTCGACCCGAGCCAGTGTCTGTTGCCTCAACGTGGTTACCGTTCTTACCAACTGAACTACGAACCGAGCCAGCAGATCTTAGGAATTTCTATATGTGCCCGATGCGAATGTTTGTATTGGGTTTAAACGGCTTTTTTCGCCTTAGCGCGATGCAAGCCACTCGACCACAGAGGTGTTCAAGTGGCTTGCACCTCATTTTTCTTGTTGTCGCCATCTCTGTGGTCCGGGATTCGATCCCCGTCCTGGTTAATGAAGAATACTAACATTTCTATATTGTCTCGAGTCTGGTTATTTGTGGAACCATCGTTGTTTCCGATTTCCACTCAGGTACTTACTTTGGGATCAGAACAACATATGTGATGTTGTCGAATATTTATTATTACTTAAGATCATGAGATGCCTCCAATGAATTGCCGAAATATTCCAACTCACCTCTGATACTCTGGCTACATAGAACTAATAGCAGCTTGTACTAAAATTACCACCTTTTACGTCTTAAGTCGATTAGAAGTCACTAAAGGAAATCACCATATTTATCGTCGAGGAATCGAAAAGACGTTATTTTCGCCCTTATTCGTCACCATCGTCATATCAGCCCGAAGACATCCACTGCTGAACATAAACCTCCCCCAAGATTTCCAGACTAGCCGATCGAATGCAACGTGCATCCTTCAATTACCCGCTGCCATTAATAGGTCATCCGTCTATCTAGTAGGGGCCTTACCACTGAACGCCTCCTGGTTCGTGGCCTTCATTCGAGAACCTTTCTGCCCCAATGGCCGTCAGTTCAACAGTCGCCCTTATTGCATGAACCTAAAGCTTTTTCTGGCCGGCTCAAGCCGAATCCGTGCCGATAACTGTAGTGATGCGAGTCGTAGCACCAAAGTGTTTTTGTTAATAATTTACGAATTCTCAAAGCCCAATAAATGATCGGTTTTTTTTTAGTGCATCGGATCCTCCTGAATTGCATTACAACGCGTCGCTGTACCAAAGCGATCACAGCAATATGTCAATAGGAGACAGGAAGGACACCAAAATCGGACCACAAGTGATCCACAAGTACAATATCAAAAATAAGGGACCTTTTGAGGTGGAGGAAGCAGAGATTATTATTATGTGGCCATATCAGACTCTTACCGGTGAGTTGTGTTGGAAAAGACATGCTATTTATATTAATTAATATTCGTGACGAAGAGGTGCGCCGGTACTTGAAATCGTCGGCGTCGTCTGATGGATTTTCAATTGAGAAACGACTTTTCTCCCAACATATACTACTAAACAAATATCAAACTTCATTAGTCAAGCGTACATGGGTTGGGATCGCAAATAATGTAGTGACCGTTTCCTCCTTATACCCAGTCGTCGCCTGGCTTTGTTCCTACTGGCGACAAATGGGAAAAAAGACTATTTTATCTATAGTCACAAACGGGATAAAAAAATCTCAGTTGTTGGTGACAAATGGAAATTAAAAAATCCCGGCAGCTGTCATTAATGCTAGCGTTTATTAATTACCGCCATCGAAAGGGAATCAAATAAAATTCGAGTTTAATGATAAAATGACAGATCGAATCGAATAAAATTCGAGTTTAATGATAAAAAGATACAGATCTTTATTGAGTAAAATCAATTTTATAAGCACTTTTATCATTAAACTCGAATCTGACATAACTGCTTGTTTATCGAAACCTACACGTCAGTAATTTAGTAAGTACTGTAAATGCTATAGCCGTGGGTTAGCGTATCGAGAGGCACATTTCAATGATAAACGAGGATTATAATGCATGAATAAAGATTTACTGCGTGTTTTCAGACCGAAGCTTGTTCTAGAACAACCAAGATATTCTTTTTTTACAATACTATTTTTTTAATATAATTCTAAATACAAACCTACATTCATGCAGAGTTTAATGATAAAAATACAGATCTTCATTGAATAAAATCAATCTTATGTATGCATATGTGTATTTTTGTCATTAAACTCAAATCTGACATTTATATCAGCTTGTTTATCGAAACCTATACGTCAGTAATTTAGTAAGTACCCTATTTCATTTTTCAGGTGATAACTTAATGTATTTACTGGTGGATCCTATGGTTGTCGGCAACGTGAAATGTGATATTACCAGAAATAAGAATCCTGCCAACCTAGAGATCCAGATGCCATACTATGACTTCTTGTCAAAGGAAAGAGGTAGGGGTTTGTTTTAATTTAGTAGTGTTATCACGTATCATAAAAAGATTGGGTTTGGATTCTTTGTGAATCACATTATCATTAGGCTTATTGCTTATATGATTTCTGATATTAATGTTTTAGTTTTCGATACTGGATTTGGGATTTATTGAATTTGTTACGGTTTTTAGCATCGGAGAGCAGTTCATATCAGTCCGGCGCTCAAACAGGACGTGCAGATGGATATTATGGTAAGTAATTACAAAAAATAATATTAAACTTTTTAATAGGGGACTTCTCGCAATTAAAATATAAGGACCCCAGGCAAATTAGTTTTTAACAGTATTCTTTTTATAATTATTAATACAAATATGTCTCCTAGCAAACCAGACAAACAATAAAGTGTATTTGTCGTGCCAGACCCTATGCTAACTAAGCCACGGAACGAACCAACGGACCTCACGAATTTTTCTATGTGCTTGTTGTCGGATCTTTGTGCTTGGTTTTCAAAGACTTTTTAGCCGTAGCGCCATCTATGAGAAATCTACAAAAGTATTTCGTCACCCAGTTAGGCACCTTTACAGCTACCAACCCTGGCTATAGATGTCGCTGTTAACTGTAATTAAATTTTTATTGAAGTGATATTCAATTTTTTTTGTGAAATTATTGCACTAGTTTGTTATAATTATTAATACAGAGGTCGAACACTTAGAAAAAATTCCTTCGATCTGGCCGGATTCGAACCGACGACGCCAGCTAGCAAACCGTACCAGACGTTATGCCAACTAAGCCACGGAACGAACCAGCGAACCTCACGAGTTTTTCTATGTGCTTGTTGTCGGATCTTAGTACTTGGTTTTCAACGACTTTTTACGTAGCGCCATTTATGAGAAATCTATGATTTTAGTCTTCTTTTTGTCGTATCGATGACATACACCATAATGCTGGCCATCGTTGTGAAAAAATTTACCAATCGGCGTAAGGTACTCGCAGAAACAAATGTGGAGTTATGTGTGTGCCGATATTATGTGATGCATTTACCCTCTGGTATAAAAATGATAAATAATAATCTTCTATTTAAACATAAGCTTGTGACGATGCTCTTTCATCGTCATCACTCCTTTTTATCACCCTTGTCTCTGGTTCCTGGCCATCTACTTTAAATTTTGAATCGTTCTTAAATTCCTTTTCTTCTTCGTCACTTACTTCACTTCTTTCCATCGCCACTCTCTACAAAATTTCTGAGGCGAGCTCACGTGCTCGACTTCACATAAAATTCTGACCAGTTAAATCATGTAATGTAATTGCTTGTAAAGTATTATATTTGTAATACCATTGAAAATCATCTAACCGAACTGCTTATAAAGCATAATATTTCTAGAAATTACAGGCCCTTTTTGACCTTTACGCATTTACTTTACCTGTTCTTTTTCCTTCCTGTACCCTTTCTTTATTTTTACAACAAAAATCATGTTAACACGAGACCCGTGTGACAAGCTGATGTCATGTCTAAGAGATAGAAGAATTTCTATTCCGTTAACGACTCTCAACAAATTTTGCTAGTTAATTTATTTAACAATAACATTATTGATATGACAATATCTTTTACAATATTAATAACTCTTTTAATACTATTAAGTATTGCTGGGGTGCATATATATATTCATATATATTCATATATATATATTTGATCGGCTCAAGCCGATTCCGCGTTTATACGTGTGGTGACTCACTTAATTGACGGGGTCTAAAGACCCCGCCGCCGGCAACTTTACGATCGGTGTTCATGTCTGGTGGTATTTTTTTTATAATACCTACCAATTTTTTTAAATTATTTCGTTTTGTTTATAGTGTTATCATTATCATACCTTTATTTCTCTAAAATTAACAAATAAAGTTTGATTGCTTTAGAATAGTTTAGCCGCCAAAATGTAGATAACCATAAAAATCGTGCCAATATCGGTAAAACATGAGAATTGTTTTATTATGTATATTTGTACCCCTTTTATATATATTTTAAGCAAATAAATATCATTCATTCATAGTTTTCTTAAATCAGTTTGAGGGAAAGTTAAGAAAGTTTTTTTGTTATATCTACCCTATTTATCAAATTACTATTCTCATAATTTCAGAATCTCAAGGCACCTTCCAAACCGGCAGCCGGGTCTCAACTGGATCACAAGGCAGTAAAGTTTTCACGAATCAAAGTAACGGCCGACACACCGGAGGTAGTTACTACACTCAAACATCAGGAGGACAATTCGCTGGTAGAGGAGGATCTCACACTCAATCTCTTACCACGTGGCAATCGTTAACTGCAAAGGAAAAAGAAATAATCAGGCGAAACCTGGCCTCTATATCTCATACCACACAAGGAGGATACAGTCAAGGAAGTTATGAAGACGCTCAATACTACTGGGAGACTCTTCCGGAATCTGAACGCCAAAGTGTTATTACAAGCATAATACGAAATAACGATTACGATGATTTTTCGATTGATGAACAGGAAAACATTAGAAAGATTTTCATCGGTGCATTTAAAAGGTACCAAGGTGGCGTCAGCGGTCCGGTTGTGACAGTTGTCAAGAACAGGACGTCGAATACAGTGTATGATGAGAACCATAATGTAATTTCACACAGCGAGAGTAGTACTGAGTATAGTCTTGGACATGAAGGCGAGGCTGGTAGCTCTTTTAACAACAGGTGAGTAAAATTAGTTATTCTTCTTCAAGGTCATAATGAGAAAGATTTTCCCGACTTCACGATACTTACTATCCTAACTATCTTGTGTACTCGCCGATGTAGTTATGCCTGTAATTTTATGTTTAGTAGCAGAACCTTTCGCTAACGGTGAAAAAATCACAATAAAACCTGCCTGTCAAATAAGGTTCACAACTCTTGGCAAATTTGTGAAATGACCCACCCTCAATTAGCCAACACGGTGGGCTACGGCGTAAACTCTCTCCTTAGAGGATACCTGTTCACACATGTGGAACGAATAATAAAAAAATCCTTTATTTTCAGATCAATGAATCCATATGGTGTTAGTAACAGAAATACTTAAAATTATGTTAGTAAAACAATTGAAAATGTAGCAATATAACTATTGTACTATTTTGTGCAAGGAAGTTAACCGACTCAGGATAACCGAGTCCGCCCTTTTTGCTATCGTCTTCAGTATTCCATTGTCGCTTTCCCGAATTTGACGCACAATAGACGTGGTATTCTTCCACATATCGTATGAAGTCATCCATGTGTGCACTAAAGAAACGGGGAAGCCTCCAGAGATCCCTGAAGGCATTGTTATATTGAATTCGCAGGGAATTGCAGGCCTGCTTTGTGAACCTGACTTATAGACCACACGTGTAAAAACTCTGACAATTTATTTTGAATAGTGTTAGTTTAATATTGACAATACAACAAGTGAAACTATGTGTCAGTATGTTCCCACGAACCGACAATGCTTCCCCTCTCCATATCCTCATCATACATTAAATAATTGGGTTGACGACGACAATGTTGATGATATCTTATGTATGATGGAGAAATTTTTTAATGTAATATTTTGATATTATTTTAGGAACAATCAAGCCTATAATCAAGGCACCTTCAATCAAGGCGGCAGTTACGGGTCCCAATCAAACTACAACCAGAATCGTGGACAAGAACAAGGCTTTGTTCATCGGTCTTGGGCCACAACCGAAACTGTTAACAAAGATGTCATGAACGCTGGCTCTTCTACCTACAAAGACCCTAGTGTTACATTCGTTGGGGATGAAGACGATAACCTTGAAGGTTTTGGAGCTGAAGCAGCTCAGGGATCAAACGGAGAGTTCAGATATGGTTTCGGTGATGTGTCTGGTGCTCAAGGTAGTAGGAGTTCTGGTGCTCAAGGTGAAGCCTATGAAGGAAGTTCTCAAACTGGATGGAGTACTGGAGGATCAGGATCTCAAAGTGGTGCTTATGGAGCGAGGTCTGGTGGCAGTTATTCAAGCTCTTCATCATCGTCTTGGTCTTCTGGTAAGTAGACACAAAAAATAAATAGAGCAATTTTATTTTGCGACAATAGCAAGGTATCTTGAATGGAAATACATTTCAATGGGTTTTTAATATTATTTTCAGGAGGCCATTCTTCTCAAGGATCTCGACAGGGAAGTTATTCGTCTCGACGCGAAAACACTCGGCGTCGTCGCCGTGAAGATCAAGTAAGTTATCGCTTTTGTTTTCTCTGGGTACAGATAGAGACCAGAAGAGTCTAAGACGGTCAAATGCGGGCTGGAGACTGCACACCTTCTTCAATATGCAAGTTATATTACGATGTTTTCTTTTAACATTAGCGAGAGGTATTTATACTAAAATGGCTTTTTATAATTTGTAAAATGTAATGTAGCGTAAATTGGATTGTTTCTTTGTAAAAATAAAAATAAGGTATTTAATTAATAACTTTTGTAACTATAGTGAAAAATTAGGGTGGTTTGCAATATTATAAGACATAACTGGTTGATGACTGTACCACCTCAGTCAACCGTGACCATGGGACCTGTAAATGGTCCGAAACGTCAGTTTGTTTGAAAAAACAAATAGACGCGATTTAAATCCGGAAAAATAGTTTCATTTCCTATGGCCATATATCATTTTTGTCACTTAAAGGTTAAGAAAATTCTTCAAGAATTTCTTGAAAATATGTCCTACGATGATACAGAGAATTTATTAATTATCTCAAAATAAATATTGCCTAATTTAAGCGTATAGGCATACGATTTGTATTTTATTGTTTAATAATTTATTTGTTTATAATTTAATAATATATATACCAGTGTAATTAGTACTTTTACCTGAAATACAGGATTTTCCTAGTTTATGCCTGAACTGTGATATATTTTAGTCTCGCTATTCCCTTGAACTACAATAAGTTATTCAATAAACAATTTTTTTTTGTAGCGAGTACCATAGACAATAGAATTTTGGTTCAGAACTAAAAAGAGCTCCTTTGTGATGTTGTTTATGTAATTATAATTGATATTTATAGAGCAGAAGAAGAAAAATGTATATAATTTGGAAATTCAAGATGTAGGCAGATACATGCCGCTTCATAATTGGAACCGTCGAATTATAACTGACACAACTGCACTTTTTTTTTAATTGCAGGTAGACCCTGAACTGAAGAACATTCTCGAACGGTGCGAGGAGAAGTACAAGTGTGCAGTGGTTAGGTGCACTGCTGGCCCGTTGGTGAAGAACCAGGAAATCTGGATTGGCTTACGATCTAGGTTCAATGCATCTGAACTCAGTCAGGTTTGTTAAATGGAGTATATAAATAGTAGAAAAAAGAATATTGTCGATTTTCCGTTATTTTTACGTCCAGAAAGTTACATTGTTCCCTGGGATTATGCATTAATATCATCATCAATCCATTTATATAATAGATAATAATAGATGTTTATTTTCTCCAACAAATATCGATTACAAACTAATTTACAGCCAGAATTAACAAGTTAATGTAGGAGAGAGAAAATCCTGTGTCTTAGGACTCATGGTCTCCACCTCTTGGTTAGAGTATTTTTTATTTAGGTCTATTTTTCACAAAGTATGTGTGTTTGTACAATAGGGAGTAATTTACAAAGTTAGTGTTTTCATTTGTGTGTGTGTCTATTTATAAAAATGAATCTTCATGCGTGAACAGACATCCTTAAAGGTGCATGCTTTTATTCAGAATGAAATGGGACCACTATGGAAGTACCCCCTTTCCAACAAAAAAAGAATCATGAAAATCGGTTCACAAATACCGGAGTTATCGCGTAACATACATACAGAAAAAAACACAGTATAATTGAGAATGTCCTCCCTTTTTTGAAGTCGGTTAAAAATTAATTGTGGGCTTAGGGAATTTCAAATTTAAATTTTAACTAAAGTTTAAAACAAAGTCGACGGTAACTTAATTATCGCAATGTTACATATATTATTAACATATACTTAATATATAACTAATGATATATTATATTATATATAATCGATAACATGATTATATAAAAAAAAAACTATTAATACTTTACATGAACTTATGCATGTACTTATTTATTAAAACATTTAGAAAATATGTGCAGATTATGTAACGTGTAAAGATATTCAAAAACTTAACAAACGGCGTAGATGTTACGCAGACGTACGCCTTTTGATCTACAGACTTAACATTTTTTACTAACCTTTACTACCAATGCAAGGGTCGATTTTACTAAAGTGCGCATTATAACTGTTGGCAATTCGTGACAACACTGCATTCTTCCTATAGTTAGTAAAATTAACTTTAGAAACTTCACAACATAACTGCCTTTTACTTTAACTGCCTCCGTGACCGAACGGTTACCATGCCGGACTGCCACGCAGAGGTCCCAGGTTCGATTCCCGGGCCGGGAGAAATAGTTGTATGGCCTACATTATTTCTCTCGTGAGTTTGGGTGTAATTTGTGGTTGTCTACGTGTGTGTCCATGGCACCCGCGACACAGGGTTTCCCTAGTGCGGGGCTATGTTGAGTGTGTGCGTTATTTATTATTTATTATTATTCACACGTTACCGAACGTTTTGAACAATGTTTTCCTTCTCCGAAAAGCTCATAGTAAATTTCAAATTAAATTTCTTACATAAATTCCAAGAAATCATGTCGCACTGTTAATACAATATTATATTAAATAAAAAATCACATTTTGTCAGAATCGACGAAAAATTAATTACTCGCTTCCCGTGAAAGATAATAATTAGTTGAAATGTATGTATAGGTTACAGTTTGTGACAGACAATTTCCTACTTACCAAATATATTTAGAAATAAAAGAGAAAGAATAATTTCATATTTTTGAATAAGGACTATTTTGGCCAGAAGAAGCTCACATAAAGCGTGTCTCATTTTGAGTTAAGTAGATATTTTTTAGTTGTTTTTTACAATATTCTAACTACGGTTTTATTAACGTATATAAAATCAAATTTTACGTTCAATAGTGGCATAATCTTGAATTACACATATTTTGAGTTCTAACTCTATTGTAACAGCAGTGCGATGTATTCAACAATTCCACGTGCCTAGATGTTAATAAATGTTTAATGTTCCAACAGATCTCTGAAGATAGACAAATAGTGCTATCGTCTCTAGCTGCGGCTCGCGTCACGAGGTATCCCGTAGCTGGTGCCGCGAAGAAAACCTCGTGGTACACCGCTGAAGCCAAAACTAATGTCACTCCTCGAAAGGAAGCATTAGAGAGCGGTTCTATACCTCTTTGGGTGGTTGTACTTGCTGCTGTGATTGGTGCTTTGCTATTGTTGTTGCTGATTTTCATATTGTACAAGGTAAGAGCGTTTTGTTATTTGCTTCTTTTACTTTATAGTTTATACCTATGTTACTGGTTTGTCTAAAGGTAGTTTTCCACCGACGAGGCGAAACGAGACAAGGCGAGACAAGAAAGAAATTTGTATGGCAAAATTTCAATTCTCTCCTCGCGCATCTTCGGTGGATAAGTTCTGGATTGACGAGGATGGGCGAGGCGATAATTGAAATATTTGTTGATGTAATATTGAACCGTATTGCTGATTACGTAGAGTAATCAGAGTATGGTCACGTAAACACCCAGTGTGCATTAGAATGAAGATATCGCACTCAAATTTAGCGCTACATAGTCGAGGAGACTATAGGGGTATTTAGAAGATACACTTCTCATAATGAGCTGGGCCATACGCTTGTAATGGTATTTGGGTAATTTTCTGGTCCACTGCTCTACCTAATTTCGGTTGCAATTTTTATTATTTTAAGTATTCGAGTATATTATGAAATATTAAATAATATTTCAGGATTCTACACTCGAATATTAAGTAATAGATACGTCATGATAATATTCTGGAATATTTAAATAATAAAAATGTTTCACCGAAATTAGGTAGAGACAACTAACCTGAAAATTACCCATTTTACATATTTTAATATGCATTGGGTGTTTAGCTTTTATCCCAATGTACTTTATTGGGTCTTAAGAAGACAAGACGGCTTCTCGCGGCCTGTGATAATTCAGGCCTGTCGGATAAACTGTGTCGGTAACTTGAAAGAGCACGGGCCGGCCTATAAGTAGGCCAGCTGCATCAATAAATTATATATTTTTAAAGTACAGCGAAAGAATTTTGCATTTTGACGTCGACTTCATGATTACCCTGTTGTTTGACCCCTGAAACTAGACCTCGTTTCGCAACTACACCCGTTTCGCTCTGTAACTTGAATGACAAAGAAATGACAAAAATCTGCAATGAAAACACGATTTCTCGCGCGAGCTATTAATGGTAATTTTTGCTGGAAATAGGTCGGCGAGATTTCAATTCTCGTCTGTCCTCGTCTCGTCTCGCCTCGCAGGTGGAAAACCACCTTTATGCTCTGGCCACACAGAGGCGGTAGCGGGAGAGTTCCAGGCCGGGATGGTTTTGTAATGTTTGAGTTATGCACTCTGCTATATTGAAATCGGGTGGCTGGGCGGTACGACTGAGTGCTATGACAAACAGGCGGATCAGGGAGTCTACTCCCGGTATCTCCGGTACTATGAAATAAGTAATACTTTACAAAATCAAAAGAAGAGAAGAAAGAATGTCAAGTGCGAAGCTTCATTCGTATTATGCGTTTTTTAATATGGTCGAGTATTACTTATTTGACGGTAAATGTTTTGGACGAATGTCGGACGAAGTGGATCCCCTGGCGCGAGCTAATGCACTTCACAACTGACAGTAGTTAGCAACTCAGTATGTTTATGCGTGATTTGATACTTTAGTACGACTGCGCTAGGATGTAACCGAAGGGTGCAGTGGACATTCAAGGTCGTAGAGAGTTACTATCAAATTGTAAATTGGCATTGATTTTTGTTGAAAATTACGACTAATTAAATTAATTTCGTTTTAAAAAATTACGAAAATTAGTCGATATCGGTATTAAAAGTCGTGCTTTTACATCACTAACCTCAGACAATCACTTTGAAGTCAATCGAAAATGGCAGCCAAATTTAATGTTCAATTTATTTTTATTTAAAAATGTTAGAGTATTTTAGAATTAGAAACATTTCTTACAATGAGATTCAATATCTACTGTTTTGTTTTTGATTTATAAAAAGAAAGTCCTTGCTAGGACGGGCTTAAGTGTACATCGACCACATTGTCGCTTAACAACAGCTTAGCCTGTGGTCAACCGTTTGTCTATTTCACATTAAAAAACGGAACTTTATCATCACCTTCAACATCATTCCACCCATTTATATGTGCCACTGCTGGGTCTCCTCTCAGGCGAGGGTTTTGGCCACAGTCTCACCAAATTTCAAATGAAATAATCGAACTTTATTCCCAGTTCGTCGTATGCGCTCGAAGTGGACGCACACATTTACTTTGTGTTCTTTTGTTCTCTTGATCTGCGTTTCATAGTCATGGGAACGTTTACCTGTTACCTAATAATAGTTACAAACGAGTAACGAATACTATGGAGCGCTTTTTATCGAGGTCAAATTCAATTGGGAAACGGCCCCTAGAGGGCCCTGTCGACACAAGCGAATGGAAAATTCCGAAGCGTACTGTGCGCCCTACCGAAAAAGTAACCTCAGGAACTATAAAGACGAGCAATCGCTTCAGCACTCTGCTTGGTGAAAACTCAACTGGTCCAGCTGCTCAGCGTTTTCACGACGCCTCTACTACGAAGAAGAAATCTGGACACATTCCTCCTATATTTCTGGAAATTAAAAATGATTGGACTCATGAATACATCAAAACGCTCATTAGCAGATATACGAAACAGTTTCATCTCCTGTACAAAGGTAAGAACAAAATTGCCGTCATCTCCTACACTCCTGAAAGTCATCAGGCACTAAAGGAAGGTTTGCGATCTGAAAACATTCCTTATCATACTTTCTGCCGGAAAGATGAGAGAATGGCAAAAGTAGTGATATTTGGATTGCCAGATTACATGGAAAACCATTTGAAAGAAGAATTAGATGCAATTGGATTCAGTGATACTATTGTTCATAAAATGAGAATCCCCGAGAAGAAAGCAGCAAGTCCACCCTTCATAGTACAGCTCCCTGCTGGTAGTGATGTCTCCCGTTTTCGTCAAATCAAATATATCAGCAACTGTATTGTTCAAATCCGCAAATATCACCCTAATAACTTATATGGTACACAATGTTTTCGATGTCAAGGATTTGGTCATTCTTCTAAAAATTGCAATTTATCTCCACGCTGTGTCAAATGTACGGAGTCTCATCTAACCTCGGAATGTCCTAAGAAGGATCGCAACCAGCCCGCACAATGTTGTAACTGCAATGAAAACCACCCTGCCAATTATCGCCAATGTACCGAACGGCAAAAATACCTAAATACTATCCGTGCCAGACAAGAACAGAACAAAGAAGTACAAAAAAATGTTAAAGTCACAATGTCCAACAAAGTGGATGGACGTGCTTGGAGTAACGTTGTTGGTGCCAAATTAGAAATTCCTACGTGTTCGCCTCTTCAGACTAATCAGGATCAAAATACTACCGACATGCTGGCTATTTTAATGACCATAAAATCCATCAAAAGTCAATTTGTCTTATGTGACAACATGATGGATAAAGTAATACTGATCTTAAGACATCTTGGTCAGTATGTCTGAGTCTAAAAGTTTACGTGTTTTATTCTGGAACGCCGATGGTATCCGTACAAAAATAACAGAGCTTTTGGATCTGGTGAGTGATATTTCAGCTGACATTATTTCAATTAATGAAACCAGAATTTCCTCAAATACATTTCTGGCCACTCCTGGCTATAGTTGCTACCGTCAAGACAAGCTCATGGAAGGACGTGGTCAAGGTGTTGCCATTTTAATCAAGTCCAATATAACACACACTCAACTCAAAATCCCAAAAACCCACAATCTTGAATGTGTTGGCTTACAACTTAATCTTTCCGACAATAGTGTTGCCGTTATATCCGTTTACCAATCTCCTAATCTCCCATTGTTGTCTAGCGATTTGGATATATTGTTTTCACTTAGTCCCAGGGTACTAATAATGGGTGATCTTAATACTAAACATCAATATTGGAACTGTTCTGTTTCTAACCTACATGGTGATGTTCTTTTTCATCACATGATTAACAGCGACTATGACATACTAGCCCCTAGAACGCCTACTCTGGTTCATTATGACATCACTCGTACTCCGTCTACACCTGACGTACTCTTAACTCGTAAAGTTTGCATTCTTGCCGAACCTCGTGCACTAACTTGTCTTTCTTCAAACCACCTTCCCGTAACCTTTGAAATTGGAGGTATAATTGAGCGCAAGTCTATTATTACTTTTAATTACCGTAAAACTGACTGGGTTAAGTACAGAGCCTACTTAGATCAGCACATTTCCTTGAGCATGTCTCCACTTAGCACTATATCGGAAATCAACTCTACTATAGATCATCTTTCAAATACTATTATCGACGCCCGAAATTCTTGTGTACCCAAAGTTTCGTCTACTACCTTTACTAAACTTCCTAGGCGTATCAAATATATCATTAAGTGTAAAAGTAGGTTACGCAGACTTGCTATCAAGGAACAAGACCCACGTACGAAAAGGTTACTTGCAACGAAAGCAAACATGCTTCGAGATGTGATTAAAACTAAAATAACGTATCACAATGATAGTGTCTGGAATGAAAAATTGTCCAAAATTGAAAATCCTACTACTGATCTCTGGCGTCTAGTGAAATCAATTGATTATAAACCTTCAAGCATTCCTACCCTGGTCAAATCCGACGGCACAAAATCTTCCACAACATTAGAACAATGCGAAGCTTTAGCAGAAGCGTTTATTGGAAACACAAACCTTACTAGACACTGGGCTACCGATCCAGCTGTTCTCTCTGATATAAGTACATCTCTTGAAAGTCTAAAAACTTTTGATCGCTTTGAGATTTGCTTTCCTGTTCGGCCTAATGAAATCCGTGTCCTATTGAAGAAGTTGAAAAACCGAAAGGCTCCGGGTGTAGATAATCTTAATAACATACTACTTAAAAACCTCTCGCAGAAATGCGTAGTGCAGCTCACTAAAATATTTAATGGTTGTCTACATTTGTGTTACTTTCCTTCTTCTTGGAAACTGGCAAAAGTTATTCCTATTAAAAAGCTAAACAAAGATGCAAGCATTCCCACCAATTATCGTCCAATCAGCTTATTACCCGGCCTGGCTAAATTGTTAGAATCCATAATTCTTACTCGCCTGTCTAAAGCCACTGAGCACCTAATTATGCCTGAACAGTTTGGCTTCCGTAAAATGCACTCTACCACTCAACAACTTGCAAGAGTTTCTGAGCACATCTCACATGCGTTAAATTTAGGTGAATCCACAGGAATGATCCTTTTAGACATAGAAAAGGCTTTTGACACTGTCTGGCATGACGCTTTACTGCATAAATTGATATTATTTGGCATTGATTTAAATTTGGTTAAGTTAATCCAGTGCTACCTACAAAATCGATCCATTTCTGTACATGTAGGTGACTCATGTTCCACTCCCAAGTTGATTTCCGCTGGAGTCCCTCAGGGCTCAATCCTGGGTCCTTACCTTTTTATTCTATTTCTAAATGACATACCTAAGCAACCTCATACAAATCTAGCCATATATGCTGACGATACAGCTTCTTACACCTCTTCCAAAGACCTCCATATAGTTATAGGACGCCTTCAACTATCTGTAGACCTACTGAGTGCTTATTTCACAAAATGGAAACTCAAATTAAACTCATCCAAAACGGAAGGTATTATATTTACTAGAAAACGTGCGTTCCCGACTAGGACAGTCGTACTTGACGACTACCACGTGCCTTGGAGTAAGTCTGTTAAATACTTAGGCATACTACTGGACAATAAACTAAATTGGTCTTCTAATACTGATAGACTGATCTCAAAAGGCGTTAAAGCTCTAAATACCCTACATCCGGTCTTGAATCGGAAATCCATTCTCAGCTCTAAAACAAAATTATACATATACTCCACTCTTGTCAGACCCTGTCTAACATATGCAGCACCGGTTTGGAGCAGCATACCTGACTCAAAATACCAAAAGCTACAAATCGTACAAAATAAAGCAATCAAAATAGCCTACAATACTAAATTCAAAACAAATTTAAAAAATCTTCATAAACGCATTAACTATCCACCTATTAAAGATTTTATTCTTAATTATTCAAAAAAATTTTATTTACATAAAAATCCTACACATCATAATACACTAATATCTGCTATCGGTAAAAGCAGGTTTCGTACGTTAGGTTTTCGTAGTACGTATAACAGGTATAAGTTACCACATCACTATTTTCTAGGCAACTGATGTTTCTCAACAAGCTCAATAGTTATTTTTTGTACTGATACCCTCATCATATTATTTAATTATATTTTGTTATTTTCTTTCGATTAATACACTAATTTCACATGTTTGCATAAATGAATATAAATATTACGTTTGACTGTTTCGTTTCTCACTTCATGTTTTTATATATATGTGGTTCTCTAAACTACTTGTTGTGTTGTTATCATATTCCTATCTGGTAAACGATGATCTGAGTAGTTTATTATTTCTTATCCTATGTGTTCGGAAAGGTGTGTAGCCTAAGTTACATAAAACATTATGTTTGTTTACAAATAGAATAAGATCTTTTTGTATTATTTTTAAGTTTATTTTGAAATAAAGATATTTAAAATCAAATCAAAATCAATCGAACTTTATAATACAACGTAACTTAAAATTATTTACAGTGCGGTTTCTTCAAGCGCAATCGACCCTCGGATCACGCTGAGCGCCAGCCGTTGAATGGTCGCGACGAACATCTTTGATATCCGACAACCGATTTAGGCGTGACGACCGATACGGGCGTCACGACTGACGCGACGACTGACGACACTAGTTCGTCGACCGACGCCGCTAGTGATGTCACCAGTCGAGATTCATCTAGTATCGACAGATATTAACGTGAAGTGAAGTTTTTAAATTTAAAAAGTGATAGATGAACTTTAAAAAGTGAAGTAGAATCAATTGCACTACAGTGGATTTTAAACTGTAAGCGCTTTGTAGTCTTCTTTAGAAATATAAAGAGTTCATTGACTAAAAATAAGTCAATCTCCAAAAAAATCAAATATTTGCGTAAATTGTGTTAAAATAGATGGCACTTTTAATAAAAACATTACTTTATGTTGATGAAACTATGTAGTTGAATTTTAGGCTATTGATATCACTGTGGTGTTTTAGTTTTTAGTATATATAAATAACAACACCGCGGCCATTTTGAAATTTACGAATTAAGTCAACTGCCATTTTGAATGACATTTAGTTATAATTAATGCGTCATTTTGGGCAAAGGTAAACATAACTAAGATCCGTGAATCTCTTTCTATCAAGGAAACTACAGAAGATTTTTTTACTCTTTATTTATTAAGGGGCTATGGTCATAATTGAACATGTCAGCCCCATTAAAAAATAATACCTCAATAATTAGTCCAAGCGTCTAGGCTCCTAAACTATCGCGAATAAATTTATACGGAGTTGTTAAAATTTGAAACTAAAAATGAATCTTCTATCGTCTCCTTACTGGGAAAGAATGTAATTATTTGTTTACGAATACTAGTACCTTCTAACCGGTATTCAGTCTACAAATTTTGGTTTATAAACATCGCCATAAAGCGAGTTTTGCAACGCCATTTTGATTCGCCATATTGAGAATTTGTCACTTTTGGCTGACATATGTATCTCCAAATGTATGCTTAAATGTGTGTGTTAAAAGATAGCCTGTCCTAGATATTTTTAAGGTGAAAGGTTCAGAACATTTCGGATCATTGTTTTATAAATATTGTTGTAATATAATTATAACTAGTCACAATTAAAATAAATAAATGTTTCATGTTGGTATGTTCATGGATTTAGTAAAAAAAAACACAAATGGAAAAGTAAAATGTGTGATACTGTAAAAAGTGTGTCATGTATGACAGTTTTTTTGGGAAATGTGATCTAAAGTAATAATAAATAGGTTAACATTAACTTAATAGTAACTTAGTGTACATGTGTGTGTGTAAAGAGGACTTGTGAATTATTGTAAACTAATTTGTGAGAGAAACAAAGTAACTGTATAGCTTAAGATACTAATTATAACTTTTGAACGACGTTGAAGTTGTCTATGGTAGTTATAATGTTAATAGCAGATCAATCTTGACATTTAGTATTTATATTCCACTCTATACCGCTTAATTTAAGAACGATTTAAAATCCATAGTGTCAAGCTGGATGTGTTCTTGTGATGGTAATAGCAGTCAAAATACAAAAAATGATTTATTTCATAAGTAAAATAAATTTACACTTGAAAACGTCATTTTTTAAGCTACTGCTCTTGCACTGACTTCCCTGACAAGAATGAGCAAGACACTCTAGGGATTGATCTTTTCACATAAACTTAAATGCTATGGAATACAGTTTGAATCAAATTTGTGTGCAAAGCGATCATTTTGTAAAAATTTACCACCCATACTGGGGACTTATTTTTTTCACGAAATATGCCTTCACTTTCCGCTGCGGAGCACTGAGAGAATATAGTTGTAGACAAGGATGAATTACAATCTTCAAAAAGCTAAAACAACCCAAAACACCCAGATTAGAATAATTTAGAAAGTTAATGAAATATATTTGCAGACGTTACTGCCTGATAACGAGAAATATTTTAAATTATGTACGTGTGTTTGTATTAGAAAATTTAGACTTAAGCCGGATTTACATTTGTTTAACGTGACGTGTCGTGTCGTGGCGCGTTAGAACGATATCGGTTTCATACCTTTAATATGGTTAGATTTATATCAGTGTGTTGCAATCTGGCGTGACGGCTTGTGCTGTATGTATGAGACCGACACAGTTCTGACGCGACACGACACGACACCTCAGACAAATCGGCGTAAATGATGTCACATGCGTTATGAAATGACGTACTTAACAGTGACATTTAATAAAAATGAAAAGGAGGCGTAGTTATTCTAATTCAAATTCAAAACTTTTTGTTTCAGTCCATGTCCATAGACGTTAGTTACAAAAAAACTACCTTATGTATTAGTAACGTTAATCATCAGTTAACATTAAATTGAATTGTATCTATAATACAACGCAAATTACGATTAAATAAATAAAATCAAATTAAATCATAATAAGTTAAATCTAATTTCAAAATACATTAAATTATAAATTGGGTCTCTGGAACCCACATGAACTCTGTTCCAGTGTTTCCAAGAATCGCAAGCAGGGTACTCACAATTACACTTATAGATACAATTTCACCGCAGTTCAAACAGATTTTAAAATGCTTATAAGTATTTATTATATCAAATTCTAGAAGGCATTACATTAGTCAATAGAATAGGCCCGTAATATAAATCCATCTCAAATAAAGAATCGATAACAAGTTCTTAAAGTCAGTATCTTCATGTTAACGTTGTTGTTATCTTTATCCAAATACTTTACAAATAGTATAGAGCAGTCAAAACAAACTCATAAATGTTGGTTTAAAAGAAAGGCGTAACAAATTTACAAAACTGACACCTAAATCAGAGTCTGTGCCAAAGGAGGCAATGTTCAGTTAGTTCTTTAGCATTTAAGCTTTAGTTCAAAACCTTTATTAAGTCCTAGTAAAGTTCAAAGTCTTTCGGTATCTTGGACACAAATGACCTCATCCAAGATACCTGTGATTATAATTTATTAATAATTTAATATAATACATTTTGAACTGTTTATTATTACGGGCCTTAATATCTTTCCTATTTGTGTCTTCTGCTCTATCTTGTGATTTAAGAAATATGTAATTAGAATCTAAATGCCGAAAGTTGACAAACGCGAGCTTGTTTCTGTACTGCCAACTAACAGCTCTTCTTTATCCTGAAATGAGACGAAAATCTTCTGCCTTTTTATAATAGTCAATTATATATAGTGCCTTCAAAATACTTTTATACCTGTCAATACATATCACAGGTTAGAGAGTTTGTATTTACAGCTTATTTAAATAAATATATATTATACAGGGTTATTTGGGTAATACTTTTTACAAAACATTAGTTATTTGTTATGCAAGGCTGCAAAATTGTTGTTTGACGCGCAGTGCTTGTATTAATACCTGAGCAAGCGAAGGCAGCTAAGATTGAACCACGAGCGAGTTCAAAAATAGATTCGGGCGTAAGCGTAACGACTGTTCCAAGACACGTGACGCAAAACAACTTTGCTGCCGAGCGAAACACACAACTATTCACCTCACTATAGCGAGGGAAATGGTAGAGACAAAATATCAGTTTTTTTTTTGGTCAAAGAGAAAGTTTATCTTCGGATGCATTCTGAGTTTGCACCTCATCATTTTTATTCTTGCTTTTACTTACTAACTTATAATTATGTGTGGTTAAGAGATTATTGAAATTATTTTACTTCTTCGACGAATTAAAATATTTAATAAACGCAGTTAGTTATATATATTAATGTCAACAATAATAAGAATGAATGAATATATCGACTCATCCGAAGAACAGAGTCCGATGTGATTATATAGCGAAAAGAGAATAAGTACGTTACGAGAACAATTTCGTTATTAAAACTAAGGCCCATGTAATGGTGTTTTAAGAATTTATACATGTTACTTTGTTTTGGAAATATAAAATCGAACAAAGGTCGATCTGACATCCACAGCGAAGAAGAACGAACGAAATGTACTATGTCCTGAGAACAAGTAATCTTGCACATAGACCTTTGTTCTACGGATGAGTCGATATATTAATGTCAACAATAATAAGAATGAAATATACTAACGGATTTGTATTACATAAATAAGTAATGTATAACAAATCGCGTAGTTGGACGTGTCATCTTTTTTATTTATCGACAAAAAAATTTTGTGCACCACAGTCCATCGTCAAGTTCGAATTTTAAAAACCTTTTCCACGCTAGCGTGCAAAAAACGCTTTTACACGCAGATTTCTAGTGAGAAAGAAAGCCTTTTCAAGCTAGTGAATTTAAAAATTAATTTATCAAAAATAAACTTTAACTTTGTCGTGCTTTCTTTTCTTAGTAATGCAGTCTTAAGAAGTTGTTACAAGTTTAAAAACAACCCTGTAAAAGTGAGCATATGGTTATTTTTCTAATACTATTTACATTGCATTAAAGGAAGTGATGTTTTTAATATGCTTCAAGTAGAAGAATAGTACATTGTGCATTAAGGGTGGTAAATAAGGAATTACAAACGAGACCCTATTAAAAGCCCGTACGCAATTCAATACAATGGTTTTCATTACACGTAAATAATATGATTGCATGCAGGATAACTTGACTATAATAGACTATAAAAACATAGAAAATTTGATCGAGAAGGAGTTTGGCCCTTCTGGATGGCTAAACCATGGTATAATAAGACAAGTATGATAATTCGATACAAAGGTAACAGCGCGGTTTATATGTGTGCGCGCCCGCGTGTGCCGTGTACAGACGCACACATTCGCATAACTTTGCGATGCATTCGCGTTGAATAGCATCATTCTTAACCCGTCACGCGTCCTAGAGATACATTGTGTCCCTAACGTTCCTGTACTATAGCGACCAAAAGCTAGACGGTGTCTCTACCGCACAGCCGCGTTTTCATCCACCATTAAAAAAAATATTTGACTGAGGGAAGCGCCAACAGTCTCCTACAAGTTGTTGCCGGAAGGCTGGACAGTGTTGTGCTCGGCAGGTTCAACGAACCGATGTCATTGTACTTTTAGCTGCTATTCTTGCGCCAACATAGTTTTAGCTCAACTCGCACTGGCGCAGCGTGTTGCGTCGTGTTCTGTTTCTCAACTACAACGTATGGCGACGCGCGTATTAGTGCGCCCGGATCACAATGTGATCGGCGTCTGACGCCTCACTACGCGCGAAACCGCTCGACTTTAACCAAGGGTCGACGCGCAGTTCCATATTTGCATAACACAAATTTGTACCTTAATTATGGGAAAATAGAGATGAATATGCTATAAGCGAAAAACATGACGCGTCGCGACGACTCTGCGCCAGTGTTAGTTGAGCCTAAGAGCACCTCACCTATTTCTGCCGCTAGGCAGCAATATGAGCATTGCTGTGTTTCAGTTTTGAAGGGTAAAGGTGTTGGTTAAATTACTGTCACATGAGACTTGTTACCTTACGTCTCAGGGTGATAGGCGCAGTGGCAGTGTCCTTCAGATCTTTGCGACTTAAAGCTCTGAGCGGTCCTGCAACTGTTATGGACTGGCGTGTCGCTTAACGCTTGTCGCTAATCGCTGTCACCTGGTATCATGAAAAAAGTTATTAAGGTTTTTGTTTCCTAACAATCTATGGTCCAATAAGTTGTTTCGAAATGAAGATAGTTTAGTTTAGTAACGTTTTTTTTCCAATGTCCTTAGGGAGTGTTTCTAT